GACTAATTTAAGTACAACAGTAACAAATTAGTGCTTCAGTAAGACAATAAGAGACTAGAAATAAAGACTAAAGAACAGTCCAGGAGAGAATTGGTATTTTTTTAGGAGAGAATAAGCACTGTATATTTTTATTTATTTAATCCTCCTAACAATTCTAGAGGGTAGAAACAACTATTATCCCCAGTTTACAGACTAGGAAACAAAGAGATTATGTAACCAGTCTAAAGTCACCACTAACAAGACCTGGGGAGGGATGTGAACCCAAATAACTAGGCTCTACAATTTAAGCATTTAATCACAATGTTGTTGCTACTGTTGTTTTTTCAACAAACAAACAAACAAACAATGCTTTGTGGCTGTTAAGAACTAAAGTAAAAAAATCGCAGTACGAAAACTAAGAAAAAATAAAGTTTTAAGGAAGAAGACTGGTCAACAATGTTAAATGCTGAAGTGAAGCTAAATAAAACGGGTATTCAGAAAACTAAAAAGACCATTAAATTCAACATTTCAGAGTTCACAAGTGACTTCCACAATGGAAATAATAATTTTTTCTTTTAGAACCAATCACCAAACATGTATCCAACATATTTAAGGTCCAAAACTCTGCACAAAAGGTTACAACTCAACAAGTAGCTTCAACATGCTTTAAAATCAGCGGTCCTGATATTCAAAAGTTAACAAATAGAGCCTCAGAAAACTAATAATTATTATAAACCAGCAGAAGAATATGATACATTCTGATCAAACAAGATGACATTTTCATACTAAAGTTAGCAAATACCAAGATGTATAATTAAAAAAGTGTCCCAGCAGATATGGAAAAATATTTGAGAAAAACTATACATGGATAGACAACCTAAAGGGTAAAGACAAGCAATATGCACTTCCTATCCAAGTCATATATAAGATATTCCTTGTCAAAAAAAAAGATATCTCTTGTCTATTTCATAATGGCACACCAAATTAGCTTTAAAAAATTTAAATTTAAATTTGGCGAAAATTAGCAAAGAAAGCAAAAATAAACAAAAACCCAACAACCCAAAAGAAAATATTTATAATTTACATGAAAAGATTCATTTTTAATATAGAAAAAATAAACAGGCACAGGATAAAGAAAGAACGTTCACAGGTAGAAAATACAAATGACTAATCAATATATAAATAAATATGTTCAATTTAATAGACAATTACAAAATAGAATCAAAATGCCAATTTCCACCCACCAAATTGACAAAAATCTCTGCCATGACATCACTGCACATCCATGTCTGGGAAACAAAACAATACTATGCATTAAAATGAAAAATAGCAATAGCATGTACTGTGGGTTACCATACTCACTCTGGGACAGAAATTAAACAGAAAAATGAATTTTCATCAATAGGGAAACATTAATAATCAATCATACCTTCACATTATGATATATTTTGTAGCTATTTTAAAAACAGTTTTAGTTTTTACGGAGAAAAAGTTCATTATGTGCCATTATGTTAAAAAAAAGAAAAAGCAAGTTTCAGAATAAAGCTTATAAATATCTATAACTGAAATGAAAGGAGCAGGCCTGGCAGTAAGCCTTGAATGTTTTGTTTGAACTCAGAAGAAAGAAGTGTGAATGATTATACATTAAAGCAATTTTGTTCCCTCAAAGGGACAGTTTTAGAGAAATTAGGGAGAACATAACATTTGGTGCTTTAAAAATCAATCCAGTAAGTGTATACATATGTTCTAATCCCAGTATGTCATTAAACATCTTTAAAATCAAAGGCTATGTATATATCCCAAAATATTTGCTTTGCTAATTTTCAGAATATAAGAGTATGTCTATTATTCTCCTCAAATAATTTGAATTTAAGTTCTGTATTTTTAGTGCATTTTTAACAAATAGTAATGGTTATGAAACAGTGTTTGATCAAGTATTTTTTTGTATCTTATTTATGTACTATTACAGTCCAAGAAAAATAACTATAAATTGTGGTGTTTTAGATCACGTAATTCTCCATAAACCTCTGCTCAAATCTAACCATTGCTCTGGAATGACTTCTCACCTTCCTGGCTATGGTGACAGAGCCCCTCTTCTCCTTCTCTGAAATGCCTTGCTCCACTATTTCCTGCTAGCTTAAACCTACCCATTCTTTGCATAACCCCACTGGTTTTATTGATTACCATTCATTTTACAATTGTCTTACTAGTTAATCCTGTACCACCTAAGAGTTCCCATGAGATAAAATTCTTGAGAAAAACAGAGATTATTGCTACATAACAATCTTCTGTAGCTTTCCATTCAGGAAGAACAGTGGGAATGGAGGGAGGTAAGAAGGGAGGGAGGGTGATAAAGAGAGACATGTGTGTGCACTTGAACAAAAAGCAAAAGATGAGACAGGACTAATGGACTCTGAACTATAATTTCTAGAAGAAAAAAAAAACTCTTCAAAATTCTACTGAGTGAGAGGGCTGAGACCGAAGAGGGGCTGCAGCCATAGTTGAGTACAACAACTATGTGTGATAAAGAAGGAAAATGAGAAACGAGACCTCTTGAGCCAGGATAAACTAGGTATGTCCAGTTATCCCCAGTGTTTTTTTTTTTTTTAATTTTCAATCTCTGGTTATTTTTAATAGAAGCAATACAGGGTTCTGAAGGGTGCACGTGGGAATACTTCAGGGAGGAGTCATATCTTGAGGTGCTTGCATCACTAGTAATAATGATTTTATAAGTTTGAAACTAATGTTCAATTATTGTTAGTAGATTAGAAATATTATTAGGAATAGGGAACAAAGTCTAGACCAGTGGTTCTCAACCTTCCTAATGCTGTGACCCTTTAATACAGTTCCTTGTGTTGTGGTGACCCCCAGTCATAAAATTATTTTTGTTGCTACTTCATAACTATAATTCTGCTACCGTTAGTAATCGTAATGTAAATATCTGATATGGAGGATGTATTTAGGCGACCCCTGTGAAAGGGTCGTTGGACTCCCAAAGGGGTCGCAGTCCACAGGTTGAGAACCCCTGGTCTAGACAAAGAGAGACATGGGGAATCTGTTCAGACTCATTTTCCTAGCTTTGAGTACAAAGTGCAAGATCCTGTCACTTTAATATTTCTGAAGCCTGGTGTGTTGTCTATCTCCCCCTCCCTTGATGCTGCTGCATAGCAGCTGGCTGAAGGCCTTGAAGCTGCTTTCTGCCAGAGCAAGGCTGTGTGTTCTGAGGGAGTGGCTTTGGAGAGTTAAGAATGTGAATTCTTTAAACTTTGACCAACTCAGGACGACTTGCTCCGAACCAGATAAGGAAGATCTCTTTTCTTCTGTCACTTTGATTGGTCCAGAGGAGTCTGTTTGCACGCAAGGCTGTCAGAGTATTAAAACATCATATCTGTGGTGTGTGATTGTGGGTGAGCTAGGATTTGGTCCTTGAGTTGGCCTCTGATGGGCTTCCTTATCAAGACTTTCTTTACATTAAGACTATAATACCTTGAAACAGTAAAAAGTGATAAGTAAATTCATGCAATTAATGCAATCAGCTGTAGAGTTAGTCTAATTAGTAGGAACGTCAAGTGCAGTAAGAACCTTGGTGGGATTGTTTGCCTTGCTTTCATGAGATTTATGACTGTAATAATGATGCATGAAATAAACACAGAGCTAGCCTGACACTCACAGTCACATACTGGAAGCCTTACAAGAAAGTGTGTGCCACCTTCCAAGTCCCGCTGCTCTTAAAACTATCTCTTTGTGTCTATTATTTCTCTATATTAATATTCTATAACTCCTACTAATAATTTTATTGGTCTGCTCATACTACCAGGTCACAAGGAAGTAAACCTACCATGTGTCCCTGACAGGTCCCCAACAGGGCTGGACAAGGACCCCCATTTTCTAGGCCTAGGACTCCCTGCCGCTTTGCCCAGAGCTAGAAGGACTACATTCATTTGTTAACACACTCATTCACTAATCAACATTGAAAAGCTGTCTTCCTTTGGGTCAAGTCCTAGCCAAGTGTTATTCTTGAGACCCTCTAGACAAAAGACCCACTTGGGGACTACCTATTCGGGTTCCCCTCCTTTGCCAGAGCCTCTGGTGCCTTTCATTCCTTCTGTATTCCTTTTTATCTAATAAATCCTATCTTACAACCAACCTATGTGGGTTCATTCTTCAAATTTCTGAGACTAAAGACCTATTGCAGGAGGACATTCTGTCAACAGAAGAAGACTGAGAAGTAGTAGAAAGCAATAATCAATGGCCATTAAGTGAGAACACTGGGATAAACAATTGAACAGAAGAGGAAAATGCTTATCTACAAATAATACAAAATGTGCATTGAAATTGTAATGGAAGACAATTCATGACTCATTAATTTAGGATATCTGAATTAAAACAGAATTCTTTTATACCATTCCATTATGGTTTTATGAAATTGATTTTTTTTTTTTTTTTTTTTTGAGACAGAGCCTCAAGCTGTCCCCCTGGGTAGAGTGCCATGGCATTACAGCTCACAGCAACCTCCAACTCCTGGGCTCAAGCGAGTCTCCAGCCTCCACCTCCCAAGTAGCTGGGACCACAGGTGCCTGCCACAACGCCCAGCTATTTTTTGGTTGCAGCCATCATTGTTGTTTGGCGGGTCCGGGCTGGGGATTCGAACCCGCCACCTTAGGTGTATGTGGCTGGCGCCTTAGCCAGTTGACGAGCCATGAAATTGATTTTTAAGGCAAGTCATAAGAGATTCATGGTTCAGCTGAACTTTCAATTTTCCCAATCTGATCTGACCTCTTATCTAATACCCAGAGTCTCCTATCTGAATTCTATGTATGCTATTTACTTTTTCAAACCATTTTTCCCATTATAAAAGGTACATTCACTATTAAAAATCCTTAAAAATATAGAAAGCTTTAAAACATATATTTTATATAAAATTAGGATCATAAATCCTAAACAGAAATGGAATATTTTTAACTTAAACTTATGTTAAGGTTTTCCTGCACCTTAAACACTCTTTTTAAATAGCTAAGTAAGACCTCTTGGTGCTTACTAGAGGCTGTGTTCTTACACTGACCATATAGAAAGAGAAGACAGAGTAAACCTAACCTATGTACACCCCAGCCAATACCCCATGCCTGATCTGTATTGTGAATGGGGGAACATGGAGAGTAGAAAAAATAAATAAATAAAATGGCTAAATAAGTGGTCAAATGAGGGAAAAGAAATTTATGGTATGCCATAATTCATATAACCATTTCCCCAATAGGCATTTATGTTGGTTTCAAACACTTTTCACTATTATGAAGAGCACCATAAATAACACTCTTACATAAAAACTGTGCTAATTTTTGAATATTCCTCTAGAAAGATTCCTACAAGTGCTGTTGCTGTAAGAACAGTACTGCCATGCTTAATGCCTTTGATTCATATTGCTAAATTATTTTCCAGAAAAGTCATTCCTCTTTAATTTTCTACTACCAGGACATTACAAATTTCCATGTGCTTGTCTCATTTTCCAAACTAGAGTGATAAATTTCTTACAAATACTTCTTTGGTATCTTCCACTATCACAATAGGCCAAATCATCAGCAGCACTCTATAGATAACAATAATAATGTTTTAGAAATTATCTTCCTGATTTGGAAGATCACTTAGGGATCTAAAAAATAGACCTGCCATTCAATTCTTCCATTCCTCTACTGGGTCTATATCCAGAAGACCAAAAATCACTTTATAACAAAGATATTTGCACAGAATGTTTATTGCAGCCCAATTCATAATTGCTAAGTCTTGGAAGAAGCCCAAGTGCCCATCAATCCATGAATAGATTAATAAATTGTGGTATATATATACACCATGGAATTTTATGCTGCCTTTAAAAATGATGGAGACTTTACCTCTTTCATGTTTATATAGATGGAACTGGAACATGTTCTTCTTAGCAAAGTATCTCAAGAATAGAAGAAAAAGTATCCAATGTACTCAGTCCTACTATGAAACCAATTTATAGCTTTCATATGAAAGCAATAGCCCAAGAAGAAGGGGAAAGAGGAGAGAATAGGGAGGGGGGGGGTGAAGGGTGGGTATTTAGTGGGACCACACCTATGGTGTATTTTACAAGGGTACATGTTAAATTTACTAAGTGTAGAACTAAATGTCTTAAAATAATAACTAAGAAAATGCAGTAAAGGCTATGTTAACCAGTTTGATGAAAATATTTCAAATGGTATATAAAACCAGCACATTGTGCCCCATGATTGCATTAATGTACACAGCTGTGATTTAATTAAAAAAAAAAAAGAAATTATCTTCCTCACTCTGGTAGCACCACTAACACATGGAATAAATAATAGGTATTAAATGAGATAGCTAAATGAAAATACATAGTCCAACTCTTTAGAAATTTCCTCTATATTCAAAATTCAGGACTTTGTACTCGATGGCCTGCTCAACAATTTAACACTAACAAAGCACTTAAATCATTCTTAGTTGAAACCGAAAGGATATCCCTACTACATGGTGCTGATTAGTTCTTTTGATCTAAGAAGAGTTGTTCGCAAGTATTAAATAAGATTAAAATGAAGATAATGAATTACTAAGCTAAATGTCAACTTTATTTTGAAATATCTGGGAGAAAAAGCAGCAATGTCAATATTTGTTAAAAAACTAAATCTTGGCTGGGTGTGGTGCCATAATTCATATAACCATTTCCTTAATAGGAATTTATGTTGGTTTCAAACATTTTTCACTATTATGAAGACTGCCATAAAGAACACTCTTACATAAAAACTGTGCTAATTCTATATGTATGTTATAATCCTCATACTCTGGGAGACTGAAGTTCAAAGAGGATTGTTTGAGGCCAGGAATTTAAGGAAACCAGCCTAGGCAAGAGCAAGACCCAGTGTCTATAAAAACAGAAAAAACAGCAGCACATGATGGCCCATGACCATGTCCTAAACCTTGGGAGACTAAGGCAGGAGGATTTCTAGATATTTGAGGTTGCAGACACCACTGCATTCTCGCCTGGGCAACAGAGAAAGACGTCTCAAAACAAACAAACAAACAAACCCCCTAAATCTAATCTACATGTAGACTTCGAATGATAGTCAAAAGCTACTCAGTTGGGTGAAGGAACAACAGATGGCATATTGACTGAAAAACTACAAACCAAAGTAGTGCTTAGTCAAACACTATCTGATGATTTTTTTTAAGTGAGATACTAACAAACATGCAAGGGAAAAATAAATCCTCAAGTTTTTAATATATGTTTGTTTTTTAAATAAATGTGTGACAGGGCCCACACCCAGATACTCCACATCAACACTACAACTGAAAATTTAATGCTGTAAAAATCTTTTCAACTGTTACTTTGTCAAGTTACTTTCTCTATTTAACTACACTTAGTATATTTTCATAGGTGCAAATAAACCTTGAACTTATTTTATTTACATGGGATAACTTTATGACATTCACTCCTAATAGAAAGTACCCTCTCAAAGTTAACAGGAATTAATCATTTAGACCACCTAGCTTATGTATATTTTGTTTCTTTGTAAAATTAATTCTAGTAAAATACAATCAAAGTGACTATCAAAAAAGTAGGATACTTTTCCAGTTACACGTAATAAATAACGTCTATATCATTACTAAAACAAAGCTTTTCTGACTTACTGACATGTCATTTATGATCAAGGACTACTAGGAAGAAAAAAAAAAGATGATGATGAATAGAGAAAAAGAATTGCCTTTAAGGAATAAACGCTGCTATTTTTGACAAAATAATAAACACTAAATAATTTTGTATATTACTGTTAACATACAAAATAAAAGGAGAAAAGTGATGCTCCTAAAATATTTTATTATTTTGAAAACAGAGATTCCTATTACAGAATTCTGTGCTTGGTCACTCTTGCCCTACACTCCCACCCTAGCTTTAGTTTCTTTTTAATGAAGAAAAGAAAAGTCAGCAAAACAAAATGTCATCATTAAATCATTCAGCAACATTTTGTGTCAAAAATGTAATGGGAAGTGCACACATCAAGGAAAAGGTTACTGTGCTTTAGAACATCTTTTGACTTGGTTCATGGCTCATCCATCTACGTAACTGTGCAGGCACTACTGATGTTTTTTTCTCTCAGTTTAATGTGGTATTTGAAGGATTATGGCATTTTCACAAAACCACATTGCAGTGATTTTAGTGGTTATCTGGCTGAAAGTGATGTTGTGATTTAGAATAACTACTCTACTTGTATGCGATGGTAAAAGCCAGCTACCAAGCCATTTTACAATGACAACCTAATTCTCACTTATATGTTTTCTCAATAATACATAAGGTCAGTCTAGAGAGGAGAACAAAAATAGAGGAAACATATTCTGAAAGGGAGCCTGCTGTGTATATATAGGTATACTATTTTAGATTTAAATCCTTATAAGTACACTGTGATAGAAAAAGCTAATTCAGAAACTGATAACCTTAATTCACGTCAGTTTAGGATAAATGTAATTGAACCTTTAAACTGTTTCACAAAATGGATTTAGGCACTTAAGAATTAACATGAAAAGCAATCACATATTGCACATTAGTAGCTATATAAAGAGAATATGAGAAATACTACAAGTACTTACCTAGATGATATAACTCATTTTAATCTAGAAACATATTTTATTATATTTATAAGCTCAATCTAGTTTTATAGAAAGAAAAAGATAAACTTTTCAGATTAAAATATTTTCTACTGTAAAACATTTCTTATAAACTTGACTCAATGAGCAATAAATGAAAAGTATTGCCTTATAATAATTCACATATTTTTGATAGGCTATTGCCTATAAAATATGTAACTAAAATCAAATTAGAAAAATATTATGAGTTAATAATACAATTAAAAATATCATGATCAGTAGGGTGGTTTATTCTATAAATGATTCAGAATTCCTTATACTTGGATAACAGTTTGCATTTTCAAATTTCTTTCTCCTCTTCTTTCCTATAATATCATAGAATCATGGAATGTAAAAATTAAAAGCAATTTTCAAATCAATCTAACACCTTGTTCATCCTATAAGTAAGACCAATGGTTCTCAGAGAGGTTCTTTGAATTTCTGATGGTTACAAAGCCTCTTCTTGGCAGAGCCTTACCAAAAATTTCAACCCTTCAATTTTAGCCCTATGCCTTCACTCTTCCTTTTCTCCTAATTACTAATGAAATTTTCAAGTTAGGCTTATTTTGTTGTTGTTTATCCCTTAGGTAAATATTAAATGCACTACCTTTGCTCAAAAAATTGGGGGTGGGGGAGACTATCCCTTAATAATTACAAAAACTATCATCCTGGCTTTCCTAGTTAACAACCTTTCCATATATATCAACAATATTAAGGGGAAAACAGGGGATAAGCTCATGATATATAGTATATCTAAAGAATAAAGTAAAGAAGAAATAAGGAAGAAAATGAAGTTTGATAACTTCTCTTTTCTATCCTTAATCAGAAAACAGATTTTCTAATTTTTCTGATTCAAATATCATTTCTGTCCAAATATCAGGCTTAAAACACACACACATGCACACACCAGCCACACACACATTTTAATACTTGAACAAGATTACCATAAGGTTTTGTAATCCTGAGGCCATGTCTTGAAATTTATGTCTCAGTTTCATGTATGCTGAAGCGAGAATCAACTTAATGCTACAAAATTTCTTAACTGAGGTGTTGTATGAAAGGAAAGAAGGTTAGCACTCCCCTTGACAAGGATGGACGAGGCCCTCGGGCCTGAAAAAAAGAAGATTTCTTAACTGAGGAACAAATTGACATTTATTTTATGAAGATTTTGAAATAGGGAATGTTCTTATATTTACTAAGCTTATATAATCTCAAATAACTGCAATTCTTTGTATATCTCGTATTGTTCTACTCAAATATCCTCTCCTCTACCAAAAAAATAATAATGACCCCTCACATAACAGTAAAAAAGAGGCTCAATGTATGAGAGTTATAATCTGTTCTCCATATTTAATTCACAAAATGCAAACACAAGGTGATTGTAAACTGGCTTTTTTTGCAGAGCTAGTGGTCAATTCAAATACTTACCTCCCTAAAATTTCATCATTATGCCAATATTATTTAGAAGTGTCTTCAATCTACAATTAGAGTAACGATGCTT